CAGGAAGATCCCCAAATCTAATGAGAACCTCTCCGCTCTCTGGGAAAAGAGGAGCCCATTGCCCACCCACCCTCTCTCTGAAAGACCCCAGCAGTGGAGTGTGGTAGCTGATGGGGACGCGGGGAGCCCTGGCACTAACGCATCATTCACCCTGGGGGGCCAACTCCCTTCACCTCCTTAGGGAAGCAGGCACGATGCTTGGGATAAGGGAGGGCAGGTGGCTTTCACCTCCGAGGCCAATCTGATGGATGGATAAGTGGCTGCCTGGAATGCTATGTTGAAAGGATTCTGTGTCACGATCCATTGGTGATGTCTGCAGGAGCAAGGTGCTGGGGGGCAGTGTTGGCATAAGAACCACATACACGTCTTTGAGCCACAGGCTGCCACATGCACAGGGCACATCTGTATGCTGTGGCCCCGACATTAGTGCCCTTTCCACTAAGACCTTTACATTTTAGCATGCATTTGCCTGGTACTTTTTCAGTAACATACTTACAGTGCTTTAGCATTGTGGCTACAGGAATGAACTTGGGAGCTGGACTGCTTTGATTCAAATCTTCCACTTAGCAGCCTGATGACCTTGAGTACGTCACTGATTATCTGTAATATCTCAATTCCCTTGGCTATAAACTGGGATTTTAATTCTACCTCACATGATTGTTGTGAGGTTATAAAAAATATAATAGCACAGAAAGCACTTAGCACAGAGCCTGGTTCATAGTAACTCCCTCAGTGTTGCCATTGTGTTACTGACATTAATCTCCATCCCACAGGAGGAGGGGAGGCCCAGGGAGGGAGAGGAGCTCGCCCACAGGCACTCAGTGAACTCAGAGCAGAGCCGTGCCAGGGACCCATGCTTCTCTACTACCCTATTCCGAGTTCCTGGAATTTATCCAAGGCTCTGGGGCAATGACTAACTTGACACAGATTTGGCTCTGAGCCCAAGGCAGTCTGAGGTCAGAACGTCCCTCCCACAATGATCCTGCCCAGTGCAGTTAGGCCGGGGCACGGCCATACCTGCTGCCCCTTTCCAGGCGCAGCCCGTGGGTGGAGCTGGGTGGGTGGGGGAGGAGTGGTCTCGCCCCTCTCTCTGAGCTGAAGCTCACCCCCTACCTCTGGGCTTCTTTTGGGGCCAGTCTTCCAGGAGTTCATCAAGATGACCAACTATGACGTGGAGCACACCATCAAGAAGGAGATGTCTGGGGATGTCAGGGACGCATTTGTGGCCATTGGTAACTGGCAGGACCAAGGGAAGGGGCTGGAGGTCAAGGGCAACGGATGGGGGCACTGGGAACATGGCCAGATTCCCTGATGAGTGGCCGTGGCAGCTTCCTAAGCTACTAGTACTGGAAAATCCACACCGCCACTTATCGGCTCCAGGGGCGCTGTCAACGTGTGATTAGTAGGGTAACATGAGGACTTGTTCCAGCCTTCAGGGCAGGAAGAGGAAACAGCTCTCCTTAGGGAAGGAACCAGGAGTGTGATGGCAGGGCTGGCTGGGGAGAGGCACAGTGTCCTGCAGGACGAGGGCGTGCATGGGCACATGCGTACACATACACACACCCTTCCACATCACTCTGTCTGTGGTGGGCCCGGGGTCCTCTAAGGCAGGACTGGGGTACGCTTTTGGGATTGGTTGCAGAGGATGTAAGTTTTTGCCCAGTCTGCTCTTTCACCAGACTGACTCAGCCCTGGGCCTGGAGTCAAGGCAGGCTTCTTGGAGGGGGTGGCATAATGGGAAATGTGCATATCAAGTATAACCGTGCAAGATGGGGTGAGATTTGCAGAGGTGAAATAATGGGGGGCAGATGGAAAACCGCCACACCAGAAAGACAAAGAAACAAAGGAATTCATGATGTGTTCAGAGGAGGGGGTGTGGGGGAGCGTGCAAAGGCAACGAGATAGCGCAGGAGGGAGGCCGGAGCTTTGACTCACAGGCCAAGGAGCTTGGGGTATGTCTGGGAGGTGGCAGGGGGCTTGGAAGGTTGGTGTAGGGTGTGATCTTTCCCATGGGTTCCTGAGCCTGTTGCAGGGGGCACGTGACTGTGCCCTCGGGGTACACAGCTCTAGCCTGTTGTCCCCCACCTTCCTTACAGAGGTACTTTTATCCAGAGTCATTCTGGCTTTCTGGGGCTGGTGTCTGATTCCTCTTCCTTAAGCTGAGACACTCCCCTATAGGCTCTGGAGCCTGGAAATCCAGCAGCTACTGAGGGCTAGAGACCCCCACATCGGCATTATTTAGGTGGAGGGATATGGGTGGGGAGCAGGGGCTGCCGGTGTGGCAACAGTGTGCAGACTTTGGGCGACACTCAGCCTCAGGGGCTGGCACGGTGCCTTAAATTATACCAAGTCATTCTTTGGCCTAGTATTTCTGCACATCAGTAGCTCTCAAACATTAGGCTGCACCAGACCAACCTGGTTTATGCTAACACCAGGACCGTCCCAGCAAAGGCGGATGAGGTGGTCACCCACCTTCAGAGTTGCAGCTTCAGCACACCTGGGGCGGGGCTTGGAAATCTGCATTTCTGCCAAGTCCCTCGATGGTGCTGATGTAGCTGTCCAGGAACCTTACTCAGAGGACTGCTGCTCGAAATATTTCTTGAATCTGAGTCCCCAGGTGGAGCGTAAAACCTGAGTCGTAAACAAGTTCTTCAATGATTCTGGTGCATGTAGGAGTCTGAGGCCCTGTGCCTTGGGTTCATGAGAGATTTCTTTCCTTTGAGTTAATTGCAAGCACTTTAGCAGGAAGTAAGCTGTCACCCAATGAGAGCCAGGCCTAGGGATGAGCCAGAGGAGGCGGCGTGGGGAAGAGGAAGTGAAGATGTCAGGTTCTGAGTATGACCCCAGGGTTGGCAATGACCTTCAGGCCCAGGCTGGGGGAGAGGAGGGGAGGAGAAAGCCCTGCCCAGAGTCTGGGTGCACTTCCTCTGACCAAGTTCCCTGAATCCCTTTCCTCTTCCTACCAGTTCAAAGTGTCAAGAACAAGCCTCTCTTCTTTGCCGACAAACTTTACAAGTCCATGAAGGTAAGAAAACTTGCTTGTTTGTTTCTTTTCCTCCCAGCACATCTGCCCGCCCATAAATAAAATCTGCCCGCCCATAAACCCAGGAGTGGGCCATCCCCCCAGATCAAGCCTTGTGACAGCTGTGTCCCTTGTTTGATATTTATCAGCATCTGCTCTGTGTCTGGCTCTAGGATTGCAGTTCTCAGCCAGAGGTGACTTTTTAGCGATGTTCGGAGGCGTTTTGGTTGTCACAGCTTAGGGAGTATGGCTGCTGGCATCTTATGGGTAGAAAGCAGGGATGCTGCTAACAGCCTACAATGCACAGGCCAGATTCCCACAACGAAGGCCAAAAGTTGAGAATTAGGGTCTTTGCACACTTGCTTTGGGGACACAGGGCTGAGTAGGACACAATCTCTGCCCTGTTAGAGCTCACATTCAAGCAGGTGACACAGTGCCTCCTCTGACAAATGCCCACAAAAGATAGCAAGTGCTCAGCTCTGGTATTAGCCCTGGCTTTCTGAAAACTGAGGACGCACCGTACACCCTCTCAGCCCAGCAAGTGGAGACTCAGCTGCTGACAGAGCCTGCTTGGTGGGAACAAGCATGAGACCCCTCTCAGCTTGCAGTCCCCAGACCTGACAACCATCTATTGGGTGCTCATCACGTGCCAGCTCTGACTCCTAAGCTGGTGTTCTGAGCTCCCGGGGAGCAGAGCTGGGCCCTGGCTGCCCACATACTCTGTGTTCCCTGCCTGCTCCTGATGTCCTGTATTCATTTCCCAAGGTTGCTCTAACAAACGACCACAAATTGAGTGACCACAGAAATTTATTCTCTCACGGTTCTAGAGGCCGAAAGTCCGGAGTGAAGGTGTTAGAAGGATTGGTTACTTCTGGAGGCTCTGAGGGAGAAGCTTGCCCATGCCTCTCCCAGCTTCCGGTGGTTTCTAGGAACCTAAGTTCCTCTTGGCTTGTAGATGCATTGTCCCTCCGGGCTCTGCCTTAATCTTCACATGATCGTCTTTGTGTGTATGTCCACGTGTCCTCTTCTTATAAGGACACCAGTCGTTGGATCTAGGGCCCACCCTGTTCCAGTATGACCTCAACTTGTTACATGTGCAAAGACCCTATTTCCAAAATACGTCACATTGTAAGGTTCCAAATGGATATGGATTTGGTGCGGGGAGGGCACACTATTCAATTCATAAAGACCATTTTTGCCTGTCTGGCTCAGTCCTAGGCCCAGGGGAGTTTGGGTCAGGACTGTTTGTGGAAGATGGATGCAGACTCTCCCACCCTGGTCTGGGAGGGAAAAGGAAGAGAGGCAGATGGACACGCACTAGTCCTTGCCTGATCTGGCCCCGTTTCTTCTCCCGCCCTGTGTCCCCCTGTCTTCCGCTCCACCAGGGTGCTGGCACGGATGAAAAGACCCTCACCCGGATCATGGTCTCCCGGAGTGAGATCGACCTGCTCAACATCCGGCGGGAGTTCATTGAGAAATACGACAAGTCTGTCCACCAAGCCATTGAGGTGAGAGGAGAGGGTAGAGGTCAGTGGGGAAGGGGGTGAGTGTCAGATCCCAGAATGTAAGATTTGAAGCCCTTTTCATTCCCACAGTCTTTTACTCTTAGGACAGCCAGGATGTGGCTAAATGAAACGAGACCTGCCTCCTTGTTTATACCAAAATAAATTCCAGATAGATCAAGAGATTTATAATTAAAGATTTCCAAATAAAACAAGAGCTCCCCGCTTTTTTGGCCTTTTAAAAACTTTTATTGAAGTATAATTTACATATTATAAAATTCACCTGTTTATGGGTGTAATTTTAAAATTTTTAGTAAATTTAGTGAATTGTGCAACCATCGCCACAATTCAGTTTAAAACATTTCTATTACCCCACTAAGATCCTTGTACCCGTTTACCTGTTTCTACCCTCAGCCCTAGACAACCGTCTCTACAGAGACAGAAAGTGGAGACTCAGCACGTGGTATTTCATATGGAATCACGTAACAAGTGATCTTATGTGTCTGACTTTTTTCACTTAATGGAGCCCAATTTTTTGTCTTTGACACTGACTGGTCAAGATCGTAAAGAGTTTTATACTGTACTTGGTTGACAAAACTGTGGAACATCTCACAGGCGGTCTCAACAGGCTTGGTAGGGAGGTAGCATATTTTAAAAGGGTAGTTTGGGGATTTCAAAATTTTAAATGTGTCCACTTCGGACGTGGTATTTTTATGTGTAGGAATTTATCCTATAGATATAGTCACACATGCCCCCACAGGCGTGTAAGAGAATATTTATGTCAGCATTATTTACAGTAGCAAAAGAGTGGAAGCCCTCCGTGCGGAACTGGTTAAATAAATGATACATCCACATGGTAGAATACGATACAGCCATGAAAAAGCATCAGGAGGCTCTATGTGCTGGTCTGTGATCTTTTCTCAGTCAAAAAAAAAAAAGTTATGTGCCCGTTTGTATAGAAAAGGGATGTTACACACATACATATATTTGTATGTACACAGACTATTCCTGGAAAATGGGCAGCTGGGAGGAGAGGGCATTGAGGCCATCAGGATTGTTTTCACTCACTCTGTTCTCCCTCTGCCCCTGTCAGGGTGACACCTCTGGAGACTTCATGAAGGCCTTGCTGGCTATCTGTGGTGGCGAGGACTAGGGCCACTGGTTTTGGTGGGCATCTAAGCCGAGAAATGGTCATCAGCACCAGCCGCCGTGACCAAGCCTGATCGCTCCAGCTCCAGAGACTAAGGAAGGGGCAGGGTGGAGGGAGGGGACAAGGGGGGGCTCTTGTCATTAACGGGTTTAAGAAAGGCTCCCACTCACATGGGCCACTGAGGGCCCAGCCTGGTCACTGCTCGCATCTGAGTGGCTGTAGAACCATAGCCACAGATTCCATCCACCTCCACTCCCCATCTTCCTCCTCGGCCCTTCTGCCCTTTGTCACAGCCCTGCCCTGGTTGGGGCTTTGTCAAATCTAAAAACATACTGAGCCTCTGTCTATGAAACGAGAGACGTGTGTGCTTTGGTAGGGCATGGTGGCAGGTGCCGATTGAGTGTTCTGGGGGAGGGAGGGAGGGAGAAATGTCTTCTGGCCAGCTGGCCATCCAGTCACTGTTTCACCACCCACGTCCCTCCAGTTTGTGCTATAGGACACTGAACCTGGAGTCCAGATACCTGGGTTCAAATTTACATCAGCTACACACTTGCTTTCTGACCTTGGGCCAGTCTCTTTCTTTCCCTGAGTCTCTATTTTCTTACCTACAAAATGGGAGAGTCGGGGAAAAAAGATCTTGGCTTCCTCTTCTAACATTGACATTCTAAGATGTGCCTCGAAATCATTCCCTTTACACTTCTTTTCGCTTTAAATAGACACGCAAACACATTCCCAGTGAGGACCCGTGTTTTTGACCTGGAACCTGCTGCCTAGATTTTCCTCATTAGAGCCTGAGATTGTTAATGCTGCCCAGGAGTGAGTTCCATCTTTATATTCTATGCTGGAAATCCCAAAGGAGGGTCTAAGCTCTGGGTCTTGAGCCTCCTCTCTTCCCTCTGCTGCTGGACGTTTCTCTGTGTGCTCTTCATCCATTGCAACCAAACCCAAACTTCCTTTTTTCGAACTCTTCAAGAGCACCAGATGCGATCGTGATCTGGGGAGGCCCGTGGAAAGTTTCCACTTTGTAAAGATCACTGATAAGCAGTAGAACTGACTGCAGTTTCTCTGTCTCCCTTCCCCCAGCTCTTCCTCTACCGAGACTTGGGTCTAATGTTGTCCAGTGACCGTGGCATGAAGGTGCCTGCTGGCTAGAGGGCTCTGCCGCCTATTCTGGCTGGCCTGACCTATCCTGGCAGTTCATTGTGTGTTTATTATAGTAGCTGTGCAGAGACCGTGGGTAGTAGGAAGACGTGCTGGGTCTGGTCTTATTCCTCCTTCAATGTGTGACCTTGGACTAGCCATCGCCCTTGCTAGGCCTCTGTTTCTTCATTTGTACGGTGAAGGGTTGGACCCGACGGTTTTGAAGAGCTCTCTCTTCATCTCTGACAAAATGAGTCTGAAAGGAAGACTGTTTACCCTGTTCTGTCTTCTCCACTTCCTTCCACGGGGCTGTGAGCCCAAACCCCATGGGAGTCAGCTGAGCTTTTGGGGGTATTTGCCCAACTTAATTTTACTGTTACCAAAAGAAAAATTTAACAAAATGGGTAAGAGCTGTGGAGTCAAACCTTTGCCATTAACTGACCGAGCATGTCATCTCCGGGCCTCAGTTTCCTTATCTGTAAAATAGGGCCTCCAGTTCTACTTAGCTCATAGCCATTGTAGGGTAAAAGAGATGATGCCTGGAAGTGTGGAGCAGGGCCTACCTGACTTGGAGTCACCTGTCAGCCCCAGCTGCCCTGAGCCAGGCCCCATTGTAGGAGCCAAGAGGTAGATCCCAAGATGTTTCCTGAGCTTTGTTTTCAAGAGGCCAATGGCAGCCCACACAGGTATCCAAAGACATAGGAAATTTCCTCTAAAATAGTACTAAGGGAAAAATAGGCTGAGAGTAGAAAAAAAAAAAAAGAAGGTGGAATCTGAGAGAATAGAAGTTGGGAGCCCCTTGAGGCCGAGGGGAACACGCAAGTGGAGAAGCCAGGAATTTCTAGAATCCCTAGAAACCAGAATGAGGGTAGCTCACACTGAGCGCTTATGATGTATGAGACACTGTTCTAATCTCTCAACATTCAGTTTTTACTTAATTTTCAGTGAAGGTGAGTTGCATTCTGGGATAGGCCTGTAGTAGGAGGATAGCCCTCAGGGTTTGTGAGATGAGGTAGATGAGATTAGAAATGGGAGTTTGCATGCAATTGTAGAGCACTTGTATGTCAGGATTTTATCTTATAACCCAGGGGGGAGCCTTTCTTGGGTAGGGAAGGTGTGTATCTAGCCGCGCATTTAAGAAAAACATGAAGGGACAGTGGCCAGTTAGAGGCTGAGACCCTGAGACCCAGGTGCCACATTTTTTTCTTGGAGCTGTGGCAGAAGAAAGAGTAGCCACTAAATTTAGGGCACCTCGTTCACTCATTTATTTTCATTCATTCATGCAGCTTATACTTATCGAGTCCCTCTTATATGCCATGCCATGTGCTAGATGCTAAAGATAGAAACAGACTGTCGTGGTCCTAGTCCTCAGCTTCCATTTGAGTGTCCCTCCCACCCAGCGCTCCCTAAAACACCACATTGAGTGACAGTGTACCAGAGATTGCTTCTGTGGCCAAAGTTCAAGGGAGAGAAGTAGAGACTAAATTAAAACTAAAAGGAAAGAGAAAGCAGAAGCCCAAACCACGACTGTCTCAAAGTGGGAGGAAAGAAGTATGGTTGTGAATGTTCTAAGTGTGGAAGGGGCCCTGAAAAATTCTCACCTCCCTCTCTGTTACAGAAAGACAACTGTCACTTCCACAGAGAGGAAGCAACTGGCCCAAGGTCAGAGCAATTTAGCAGCAGGCACAGCTGGGCTCCTACAGTCCTGGCCCAGGGTCAGTGCTTTTATAAACACGCTGACCGGTCTGCTTTCGTCATTCTTCCCCTCTGAGGGGAGGCTTCACCCCAGGGTCATCCTCTAGCTCCTCACTGCCCCCCTCCAGCCTTGAGTGATGCATTTTCCTTTCAGGGCAAACCCTTTCAGAAGCTCTGGACTAGGATGTGCCCACTTTGGTCTTTGGGGCCACGAGGAAATGACTGAAAGAAGTGACTGGGAGGGGGTCGCCCTTTTAATCAAGCAAAGAGCAACTGTTTGGGATTTGCCACTGTCATGTTTCCTGCCATTGATGAGCCGTGTGGGAACTGCTGGCTATTTGAAACCCCCTGATATTTACTGTGCCCCAGCTTTGCTGGGAACCCCAGTCTGCCAGAGTAATCCCATGGGAGAAACTTCTCCATAGCCATCCCTGACTTTGCAGTGGTACAGGGGTGATCACCTCATTCTAATGAGGAAACCGAGGGTTCAAGTGGTGAATTGGTACAAATTGCATGAAGATATAGACAACACATCATGGGTTCACTGAATGGGAAATGGTCATAGAGATCATCCATACCAACCCTCTTATTTCCTAAGTTTGGGAATTGAAGTCCATGGCTTTAGTAAGAGCTAGATCTGCGGCGAGCACCTGCATCTCCTGACTCCTGCTCTGCTCCCTCTGGGGACACATCCTCTTTTGAAGGCAGAAGCCAGACTGAGCTGAGAATGGGAGGAAGAAGTGGCAAGTTGCCCAACCCGGATTTCAGAACCCAGAGCGGTAAATCGGTGTTCAGACAGCCCTCTCCACTCCCCTCCAACCTCAGGTTTCCCAAGGCAGACTTTCCTACTTTACGGCTAGAGTTAGGCAAGTGGGAAATTCTGGTTGTATAACCCAGTGGTTACATTTACGGGGATGCACAGGCTGGCCTCAAATCCCAGTCAACCACTTCGCAGTAGACAAGTCCCGTGACCTCTGTCTAGATTTCCTCATCTGTAAAATGGGAATGACAAAGGTTTCTATCTCACAGGATTGTCGTAAAGATTAAAGTAATGCGTGTATATCATCATTCAGGACATAGGAAGGAACTCAGCTCTTCATTATTAACAAGTAGGCCCTATTCCATTTCATAGAGGAGAAAGACGGAGTGGGGGAGTCTCTTCAACAGCCTCTGATGACCACCGAGTCCCAACGCCGTGCCACTGACCCTCAGAGAGCTAAGTGGGGAAAGAAGATCATTAGAAATAGTCAACCACGCGATAGTAGCAAGTGGTATCAAGTGCAGAGGCCACAGATTAACCACAGAGAGGCCTGAGAATGGCTCCCTGGAAAGGAGCATGTGCGAGGCACCTCATGAGAAAGGGTTAGATGCTTTCAACAGTCAAAGATTAAAGGCAGAGGAGTTCCAGGCAGAAGCAACAGCTTGAGCAAGGGCACAGAGGTGGGAAGTAGAGGCAATAGAAAGTGTCACTGGGCCCTTGGGTCCCACACCCAGTGTGACACCATCTGGGAAGGTCAGAGAGCATAGGCTGGGGCGTGGACTTCACCCCTCCAGGCCCTGGGCAGCTCCTGAATGTGCTAGGGACCAGAGAAGTGTGATTAGAGATGGACTTTGGGGAGCAGTGGCTGGGAGACCACTGGGCAGACTTGCAGTTATTCCCAGATGTGGAGGGATGAAGACCTAAGCCAGAGTGAAGGAAGCAGAAATGGAGAAAAGAAAAACACGGAGGAGGAGCAAGAAACCAAGGGAACTGCCTGAGCAGCTGTGGAAAATGAGAGGGCGGCCGGGGCGAAGCCAGGAATTGTTACCTGGGACCCCAGAGGCAGGAAGTGCTTTTAAAGGCAGGATGTGAGGCCAAAGGCCCAGGATGCAGGCCATCCCACTGTCCTCTCAGCTAGGTATGGACTGAAGAAGCCCCAAACCAGAGTCATCCAGGAATGAGCCCTGCCCCCAAGTCCAGCTGTCACAGCAGTTTCCAGAACATACATTTCCATCTGGGATGGCCCCACCCCTTCCTCCCAGCCAACCCCACTATTGTGCTGCCAACTGCAGTTAGAACCTCCTACTGGCCGCCCTGTTGAGATGGCCATGGACCTTGACCTAGAGATAGCAATAGGAGGGATGGGAGGGCCTGATAGTTGAACAGGGAAGGTAGAGGATGGACATAATGACCCTAAGCCTGTGCTGGCCCAGCAATTTCCATTCCCACTTTCTCACATATTGTATCCACTCAAAGCCCATAAACACTATTAATCACACACAGGATTCCAAATCACTGCCAGTACACCCAAAGGGACACACACTATCTGCACCCAGAATCAGAAACATACACTGTAGACCACATAGAGAAAAATAGAATGATTAGGCCCACAAATACACTGCCGGTAACAAACAAACACAGACATAGTTGCCCATAGCTGCTACTGGCCTCGCAGGGAATGTCTCATGCAAGTACCTAAACTCGCTTTTCACACTCACGCTTTTCTTGGCACACAGTCTTCCTTGCAGTCCACAACTCCA